TAGTGTTACAATGTTAGAAAACAGACAGCCCAAAAATTTAGGCAGGCCGCTAGGCTACGTCATCCGTGCATTCTTGGGCAATAGCAATATCCTGAAGTAGATTGTTCATTAACCTATCAAGCTTTTAACACATGCAAGCACTTCTGTTGTTGTTTGATGATTCTTCCGTTTTGCATCGTGTATCGCATGTGCCCGAGTCAAAGTAACTTTCTCCACCATTCTATCCGCGATTCGCACAAAATGCGATTAAAGTGTGTCCGGATCTTTCGCATTTAAACTAACGTGGACGTTGCATGGAAGGACTGGCGTTAATCCGTGTTCTAAGAGTGCCTGATTCACAGTGTTGTGGCCAATTAAGCCGTGAAGGTGACGAAGGAGAGAGGACATAGTTTTTGTCATTTAATCCCTAAGAGGTGAATATTATTTCTCCTGAAATAATGCTCTAGTTGAGCATTCGGGATTTTTAAATATTCACTTACTTGCTTACATCAATTACCTCTCGTGGAACATAGGCCACCGACCAGTATTCTCAGACTTACTCTGTTCTGGACATGCTTTCACAATTCCACCATGTTGATGTTCATTCTTTTCATGTCTTTACCCATTTCTTGGTGAAGTGCGTTCTTCGGTCCTCACCTTTTCCTTTGACCTTGAGGGTTACAAGTGAGGGTGTGTCTTGTGGTTTCCGTAATAGGTGTCGTATCGATGTCCAGAGCATTTCCCTGATTTCCTCATCCTCTGGAATCTGGTTTATTCTCTCACACAGTAGATTGTTTCTGATAGTATCTGGTCAACGGATACGAAGTATTTTGCGTAGACAGCTTGTACCTTGTGGTTGATGGCTCTAATAGTTCTCCAACTTTACGTCCCATACGGTAAAATCTCCATACTTTAATAGTTTACTGAATTCCTTCTTTGTTTTTTGTAATACTTTCAGTTTTGATCTTCATGCTCTCACATTAACTTTTGATCCCTCAGCAGCCATATATTACTTAGCAGAGTACCCAAACTTATTGTTGTCAAATATCAATTTTTAACAATGCGACGTTTTTCAACAAAAATTCATGAATTTGTAAATCCCTTGAATGTGAGGAAACTCGTGGATGGCATATTTTTAACTATTATTCATATGATTATGCTGAGATTATAAACTGTGTCTGGATGTCATTCTAAATTAATTGACCAGTTAAAATGAGGTGACAATTCGGCTACAAGAATCGATATTGATACTCCTACTGCTATCTTCTTTGGGACAGAAAACAGATTGTGACGACCTATTGTCCGGTGTTTTTATCTCGGTCACATATTTTTAGATAAAATTAGAGTGCCTCCTCAAATCCAAAATGTCATCTACAAAATAAAGTCATGCACTATATGTAACGAAAGCTACTTTTAAGTTGACTTGGTAAAAGTGAATTTTTAACACATTTCTCTCACACTGGAACGAAAAGTAAAGTAATGGTAACTCAGAGCGTCAACTTATGGGTTGCTATTGCGTACATTCCAAGGAACTAGATTATCATACAAATATGATCATTCAGAAATGAGATTTCTATGAAGATATAAATTAATATCATACGGTTTACCGTCCCTGTTTTGATGACAGTTTAATACTGTCTCACAAACGCTTGATGATGTAAAGTTGTTATTTTCTTTTTACTGGTATCATGCTGTTTGGCTTTTGTGTAAATGAATGTGTGCAATACAGTAATGAGTTTTGGACTGGTGATCATTAATCATGTGTTCTACCTCTGTGTTTACGAAAAGTAAAGGTGGTCAAACCTTCATGCATAGAATAGCGTTTCTCTCAATCTCATTGTGCGTTGTTCAATCAGAGTTTATCTGTACTGATTGGTAGGTGTGAAGAACAACCATTTCGATCAGTTCGGTAATGGATATATTCACTTCCAGTTGTTTTCTAGAACATGCGATAGCATGACTACAAAACTATTTTGAGATTTTGTTAAGTTTACATAGGACGTCACTGAAAATATACTCATACTTTAAACCCCCTTTCCATAAAAAGGAAATATGTTAAAAGAAAAGTTAATAAGAAGATACTGGAACTGTGATAAGTGCTGGTCAGCTGGCTTAGAGGCTCTTAACTTACACTTAGTGCAGATTAGATGTATATCTTGAGATGTGACCATTTGTATAATGTTACTCATAGCTTTCTCCATTCCTTTGGACCTGATGAACATTTCACCAGCAAGTCGCATTTAAGAGGGGACCCATACGAAATAGGACGCAAAAGAACAGGCATAAAAACCTAAGTAAACACTTTCGCAGTTCCTTTATTAAATTATAAAACACTATAGGAACACTTTGGACTCATCTTGCCAAGTTATGAGGGATAAGCAGATGTCCTATGATTGCTTACAAAATACAGAGTAATCTACGCCACCCCAACACAAGCATCCGATCAGCACATCACCAACACGCCCTTTATAGCATACATCGTCAGCCGAACTAAAGACATGGAGTGAAGTAGTTCAGCCTGTCGGCCACTTCAATCGGGAGTCTCTTCATTGCGGATGACCTGGTGTCTGGCAAAATCTCGGCACGGATACCGAAGGCTCGAAAGTCTGTTGCTAACATGTGTCATTTATGGCGTAGACAAAATATCTGTCTACCAACCAAAGGATTGGTTAACTGCGCAGCAGTCTGCTCCGTCCTAATTTATGGCTGTCAAGCATGGTTATTAAGGACATAGGATTTTCGTGAGTTACTAGTATTCAATCGCAAGAGTCTCCGAAACATTCCTCATAAATCTTGGGACCATTGTGTAGACAATGCTGTCCTCTGGAATCGGGTACTAAATAAGGGCGAAAAGTCATTTGACGCAATGATGTGGTTGGGACAAGTATTACGTACGCACAACCACCAACTGCCAAGATGAGTGATGTTTTCTAAAGTAGTAGACTAGAAGAAAGAGATAGTCAGTCAGATGAAAACATGACACAAATGCGTGAAAGCACTAAAAAGTGGACTGAGTCATGTTGGCAAGTGTCGATTACCAAACTGGGGTCCGCGAAGACGGTAGTACAGACGGTTAGAAACCTTGGATGATAAGACTCGAAATCTAGCACCTTAGAATTGTAGAATTCTTTTTGAATGTTTTGTTTTTTGGAAAATCCCTCCATGTTTACATATTTTTGCTATGACATGATGGACTTTTTCTCTTGACATTTTTGGTATTTTATTTGATTCCAATTTGAGATTTTATCATTGTATATTGTTATTCTTTCTATATTTTGTACTTATATTGAAGTTTTTGTGTTTGCTTCTGAACTGTACATATATTGTTTAAATCTGATATAATATGGCTACCGCCACATTTTCGGACGGACGCAGTGGCTGCTGGACTTAGCGTCACTTATTGGTTATTGTGTCGGATACTCTGCGGAGTAACTTAACCCTGGAAGAAACACAATTTCCGTAAGGCTTTGTATTTCCATTTTTCTAACTAATACAGAGACGTTTTCTCCTAGAATTTTGTCCTTTTTTGAATTGATTGGGACCCGGGACTAGGAAAAGCGTACAGGAGTGCTTCTATTGGAACCAATTTGGACGGCCACTGTCGAAATAAATTTACAGTCTGGAAATTCTTCTATCAAGGATTATACTCTGGAAATTATTCTATAAAGGATTATACTTTGGAAATATTCATCTGAACGTGTATATTTTGGAACTATTCGGATTATTAAGAATTATAAAGAAACATTTGGAATTTTAATCGTTTATCGCACTAGACTTCCTTGGAGGAAGAAGTTGGATTATTTACCGTATTTTTGAACTGAACTGTGGAATTACTATATTTTGTATTGTTACCTTCTTTATTGAACTTTATTTATGATGTCAAACAGAAAAAAATCACACATGAGGAGGGTGGAAGAGCTCGACGGATCACAGGGCTCTAGGCAAGTCGTTAATGATAACTTTTTTATGGGTAACCCACATGTTATGTCTGATATTTATTATTGTGAGTCATCGATAGAGGGTTTAGAATTACCTAAGGTTGAACTCTCATATTTTGATGGAAGGTCTCGCGACTATTTTAGGTTCATGCGACAAATAGAAACGTTTATAGAACCCCGAATAAAAGACGAACAAGTTCGTTTATTGTATTTAATTCATTATTGTAAGGGAAAAGCAAAAAATGCGATTGAAGGCTGTATTATTATGGATCCACAAGCAGGATATAAGAGAGCTAAGGCCATTTTAAAACAGCTCTTTGGACAGTCGCATGTAATAGCTCGAGAAACCTTAGAGGATTTATTTAGAACTGAGAATGTAGATTTTAATGATCCTGAATTATTGACGAACTTGGCTATTAAAATGCAGAACGCTGCCTTAACTTTAGAACAGCTAAATTGCACAACGGAACTTAATTCCATGGATACTTTAGAACGAATAGTCAGGCTCTTACCTCGTCGAATGCGAGCCCAGTGGGCAGAGCTAGTAATCAAGTGGGACGAAGAGGAGAGAGAGCCTAATTTCAATGAATTGACGGAATTCATTATGTCTCGTGCTAAGATAGCTAGTAGTAGGTTTGGAAGATTAGCTTATCAGGCTAAAACAGGAAATAATACGGAAGCTACTAGTGGTCTGCGTGCGAGACATGAGGATTTTTCGTTTCTACCTAAAGCACGCTCGGAAGATAAGAGATTTGTCAATTATATCACGAAAGCATACCCTGATGAAGGACGAGTATGTGACCGTAACGATGTAAAGCCTCTTGATGCGTGTCCTAGCAAGAAGCCGGTTGGTGTAACAGATAAGATGGCTTTTCTAAGTATAGAAAAGAAAGAAAAAAGGTGAAAAGTGTAGGCATCAAGATGGATCCGAAGTGTGTGATGATAAAAGCCTCTTAGCTGCTCGAAAAGCCTGGAACGGTAATTTGGATTCGAGTAATCAGAGGTTAATGAGTTCAGCAAATATGAATAAGACCCAGGCAGGATTGTCTGAACGGAATAAAGCTTATTTTCGGAACCCTTCAGTTAGGGTAAATTATATAACTGGACCTAGAGTAGATTCTAGGATAAGTGATGGTGGTAAAGTAACGGCTAAGAAGCCTAGGAGACAACATGATGCTACTATTACTAAGAAGCCTGGACCTCATGCTCTTTCGGATGCTACGACTAGCCATGGAAATAGTAGCCATCAGAACCTTAGTAGTGACAGTGATAATAAGGAGATAAAAACTGTCAGCAGTCCACCTATAGTGACTAGTCTATCAACTACATCGAATGAGCCTCCTAGTGTTTCGACGCCATCGGACCTCGTCACGAAGGTTAAGTTGATTGAAGATGCACAAGGTTGTGCAGCTGTAACTGTTCATATTCCGGTTGACTGTCAGTCGAGTGATGATGAGAAGAAAGTGTTTGATGGTAACGGCCAGTCTACAGCGTTGTGTGATGACGATGCTATTGATGAGCATAAGTCTTGTGTCTCTGTAACGGATGCTAATGTACACCGAATCAACGCGACTTGTCTGACAGAACGGAATCATTTAGACGTTGATAATAAACTGGATGTCACTGATGTGACAAATGAGTTACCGACGATGACGAACATTGATCAAACCCCCTCTGTGTCAGGAGATGGAAAGATAAATATTGATCCCACGTCAGGCTACTTAAAGTCTTCTGGAGACGATGAAATGTCAAAATTGGAAATCCCACCCTTGCATATTATTTATGGGTCAAAAACGTCTGTTGATAAGTTAGCATCACGGACTTCATGGTATCTGTTGATCGGAGCAAGTGGTGGTGGATTGGCGACTCGTCCCCATGATAGAGAATGTAGTCTTCGGATAGGATATGACCAGTTTTACGATGTGTTGTACATGTTCGTATGGGTTAATTGGGTAAGGTTTATACTACCGTTAGGTCATGCCACGATAGATAGGGGAATCAAGGGCCTGATGAGAAAGTATAGGTACCTAGTTAACACGATAGGTCATATCCATGTTGGATGGCGGGTAGGCGTACTGCTGTAAGTCCTACACGTTATTCCGGTGTGGATTAGGGCATAACGAGGAACCCTAAATAAAGTGTCATTAACGCTTGCTCTTTTTGCATGGAGGGATTTTGCGGGCCGGTGTAGAATCCTTTTTGAATGTTTTGTGTTTTGGAAAATCCCTCCATGTTTACATATTTTTGCTATGACATGATGGACTTTTTCTCTTGACATTTTTGGTATTTTATTTGATTCCAATTTGAGATTTTATCATTGTATATTGTTATTCTTTCTATATTTTGTACTTATATTGAAGTTTTTGTGTTTGCTTCTGAACTGTACATATATTGTTTAAATCTGATATAATATGGCTACCGCCACATTTTCGGACGGACGCAGTGGATGCTGGACTTAGCGTCACTTATTGGTTATTGTGTCGGATACTCTGCGGAGTAACTTAACCCTGGAAGAAACACAATTTCCGTAAGGCTTTGTATTTCCATTTTTCTAACTAATACAGAGACGTTTTCTCCTAGAATTTTGTCCTTTTTTGATTTGGTTGAGACCCGGGACTAGGAAAAGCGTACAGGAGTGTTTCTATTAGAAACAATTGGGACGGCCACTGTCGAAATAAATTTACAGAATTCCCACCCGAATTTTGTTCCTTAATGCCTTCTAAGGGTGACTTACAATAATAAGTATCAAACATAACATCACTACTGGTGGAAAGGGAACCCATTAAACAAGAAGAATCATAAACGACTTGCCTAGCATTTCGGGATTCTTCATGCTCTTCCACCCTCTTCGTGTTTGTTTTCTTTCGACAGCTCATAATTAATTGAAGTTCAACGGAAGATAAATAACAAACACAAAATATAGAAATTCCACCGGTAAACTTTCGTTAGTAAAATCCGAAATCAGAAAATCGTTTTCCAAAATACAGTTCGATCAAAAAAAGATAAGTAATCCAAAGTTCTTCTTCCAAGAAGTCTAATATTGTAAACGATCAAAATTCCAAATGTTTCCTTATTCTTCTTAATAATCAGACTGTAGTAGGCTTGTTCTTCACAAAAGTCAGACTGTAGATGACTCGTTCTTACTAATTGTCAGACTGTAGGCTTGTTTTTCTTAATTGTCAGACTGTAGTTGGATTTTCTACCGTAGCAGTTCAATTCGATTCCAATAGACGTATGTTGAACGCACCTTCCCTTAGTCGAATATCAAAACACAATAATTCTAGGAGAAAGTGGTCTATTTATATAAAAGAAATGGAAATACAAACATTTACCTGACAATTATTACGCCTATCAAGTCGAAATTACTCTGATGAGTATTCGAGTTCAAAAGATTAGGTGAAGCTAGTATACTGCGACGATATCAAATCCAAATATGGCTGTAGCCATATTATATATCAAATTTAAACAACATGTGTACAGTTCAGAAGCAAACAGAAAACTTCAATATAAGTACAAAATATAGAAATAATAACAATATACAATGATAAAATCTCAAAATGGAATCAAATAAAATACCAAAATTTCAACAGAAAGAGTCAGTCATATCATAACACAAATATATATATACATGGAGGGATTTTCCAAAAAAACAAAACATTCAAAAATGATTCTACAATTAGTTTGAGGCATGAGAGAGGATTGCTCTTCCAACTTCACGAAACATGCATTAACCTAGAATCCTAAAGGCCAACTGAAAAGAATAAGGCGATGGAACACACTACGCTGGTAAATGGGGAAAGACACGAGAAGAATGGACTACAACTGGACAGAATTAGAATGAATATTTCAGGATAGATTGAGCTGAAGAATACTGGTCAGCAGCCTATGCTCTATTGGGGGTAGCAAGTGAAAGTAACTAAGCAAGCAGTTATACTCCTTGGACAATATTTTCAAAAGCTAATCTTACTAATTACTGCTTCTGCTTCTATTACCTTAACTGCTATGGGATTTGGATTGGCAACTCAACCTCTGTGAGCTAGCATTTTATGGCGACTTGAACTGATGTAAGTATGTAAGTACGAAGTTCTACGTTGTAGCTGAAAGATCGTTGGAATAAATGTTAGTAGGAGCACTGATTACTAATCATTCTATGTTATATAATGACTACACCATTTTGAAATGTACGTACGTAAGAAGTTCTAAGTTGCTGTTGACTGACTGACCCCTCAAAGCAGCCACTTAAAAATCTAACATCAAAGGGAAATGACCATGTACACGCTCACTTCTGGCTAATAGCTGTCTATTCCTAAAATGCTCGTCCAGCCGAAGTGACCGCTGCCCTCTTACAAAGTTTGTAGCTTTAGGGGGAGATTCCCCAAACATATCTCCAGCCTGTATTAGCTTTGCCTGATGCATAACAGGAAGCTTGCTTGCTGTTATCATGGCCATTTTTTCAGATCAACAACTTGTTCTATCTCGCTTACTAACATCTTTGTTCCACTTTTATCCTTACACTATGGTCCTCTCACACATTATATATCCGTGATTATTTAACTTATTTTTTTCGTTAGTTCCAGAAACATTCGTCTTTTTCTTAGTATTCTATTAATTATTCCTCATATCTCAAGCCACTAACCAACGGCCTGGTAATGTGCTAGCTTCTGGTCTCCATAATACCTACTAATCTGAAACAAACCCATATTTTCGAAATATAGGACTCACGAATTCCAAAAGCAACTATCAAGTGACTAGAGTTACTACAATTACCACAATCTAATTACTTGAATGCCACCCATTGAGCAACACCAGTCTCATGAAACTATTCCAAAACAAGAAGAAGCGAGCGCGAAGAGAATAACAGGTTTCTCTTTGGTGGTAAAAAATATATTGAATATTGTACCCCGGCATTTAAGACTGTGTACTGAAGGTCATTTGCGCCTCTGGCGTCTAGGACTTTGCGCTCCACTTAACTGAGATGACTGAGGTTCAGTCAAATACAGGGACGGAACAAAAGTATGGAGGCGCTGAAGGAGCAGATGCAATGTATGTAAAGCTCGTATCATCAGATGACCATGAATTCTACGTTCGTCGGGAGCATGCGCTCACAAGCGGCACCATAAAAGCAATGCTTTCAGGTCCAGGTAGGTTGATCGGTTTTTTTGTTGAACCGCTATGTTTTCCAAATTGTTAATCACATATACTGTAAGTTTTCAGCGTAAATTTTTACACAACATGTATATTTAATTTTAAGCCATGACAAGTTATGAAAATATTGTGTTAACGCTTTGTTCATTGCTTGATAAACCGCATTTCAATACAGTTATTGTGATTTACCTGATATTCATCAAAATACAGCTTATCACTGTTTAAATCGACCATTTAAAAATCCTGTGGAGCTGATCAACAGGGTTAAATCATATGTATATTACTATTGTGCAGCTGGTTTGTCCGCCAAGTCTTATCATCACAAAATGTCGACGAGTATAAGTTTCACACAGTATTATCGGCTTCTTCAAGCCTAACGGGTTTAGTAGTAGTCGAACCAAATGTGGTTAAAGTTGCGACGTTTTGTTTGTCAGTGGCTAAATCATTGTTTCAAGTTCTCTTTTCCAAACGAAATGTAAATGTACAACATTACTGGGTCCTACCATATATATGCAAATGCGCACCCTGATGTACTATTTTTATCAAGGTTCGTTGAGTTGTGGAGTCTCTTTCGTATTTCCTGAATGTTTTTGTGTCCAGTTTTCATGTGCGAACACACCTATTACAACAAATTTCTCGGTTATCGCTTCCTCCATTATAACCTGTTCTTGACAAATCTGTGGTTATCTTTTAGTATAACAGTCATTTGCTAATCTATTCTCCTGGTTTATATAAATATCACCTACTGATACATCCGTTATAATCAACCGGAAAGGTTCCATCTTGAAACCACTAAGAATCATATTTTCTCTTCTCTTCTTCAGCGCACAGTAGTAATGAATTTAAAAATAGGATAGGATTTTTAATGAAAAACTTAGCTCAAACAAGATAGTTCTGAATACTTGGCGTTTTTGGCCACTATTTTAATTTTCATATGTATAAGAATTCCACATAGCTTAGCATAACCTCTCAGCTGGTCATTGACAAGTGGACTGAGTCATGTTGGTAGATGTAGGCTATCTGGTTGGGGTCCGCGAGACGAAAGTCACCGATGGTTAGAGACCTTAAACGACATGGCTCAGAATCGTTTGCAGTTGCATCCATTCTTTGTATTCTCTCTAATTATAACCTTCTGAATTCCTCATTTTCTGTACCTTTCTCCTTCTGAATTTATCTTACTAAATTATACTTCTCGAATCATATCTTTGCTCCCTAATCTTCTCGATTGCTGCTAATATTTCTACTATCACTATTGGATTTGAACTGAAAGTTACGTCTCTGTGCTGACGTGGTATGGCAACCTGAACTGATGTACTTATGTACGAAGTTCTGCGTTCTATCTGTCTGGTTTTTTTAAATGTTATCTAGCCTTTACTCACTATTTCAACTATCCAGTTAAACACGACACTTATATGATTTTACATCAGCATTTTTTAATTGTTTTCTTTCAATATCATAAATGTCATAAATTTTTCGTGTTACATTTAATAAATAACCCTCTTTTTCTTTTACAAAAAAAATTATTATTATAGGTCAATTTCAAGAGAATGAAACAAATGTTGTACATTTTCGTGAAATACCATCACATGTATTACAAAAAGTATGCAGTTATTTTGCTTACAAAGTACGTTATACTAATAGTTCCAGTGAAATACCGGAATTTCCTATTGCTCCAGAAATTTCACTGGAATTATTAATGGCTGCTAATTTCTTAGATTGTTAAGTATTATTATGTTATTATTATCGTTCTTAAAATTACTTTGAGTGAACTTTCAACTTGTACCGTTGTTTTGATTTTTTTCTTTTCTTGTAATTCCTAATTGTTATTAGTTTTTCTTCCATACGCTTTATTCAATTCAATGTTGAGTTTCGCATTGTTTTTATCCTAATAACTATATCTTGGGAGATCCCTCATATTAGCTTGAACAAACAATAACACACCTTGATTATTCGACTTTTTTTCAGTCAGTTCTTTGCATCAATGTGTTTTCTACAGACAATTATACCGTGATAAAAATAATAATAATAATAACCATTACTATTACCTACCATTGCCTTTGTGTATCACTTTTGTTTCAGTCAGTTGCAACGTAGAACTACGTACGTATGTACATAAGTTCATGTTGCCATACCACATTACTAGCACAGAGACGCAGATGTTAAATCAAATCCCATAGTGATAGAGATAGAAGAGGTTTTAATGGTAATGAAGAAGACTAGAGTTTGAAGATATTATTCAAGAAGTATAATTCAGTAAGATAAGGTTAGAAGGAGAAAGGTAGTGGAGTTGAAGAATCCAGAAGATTAGGATTTGAGAGGACACAAAGAATGAATGCACCTGCACCATCGCGAACGATTTTGAGCCATGTCATTCAAGGTCTCTAACCATTGGCGACTTTTGTCTCGCGGACCCCAACTAGGTAGTCAACACCTACCAACATGACTCAGTCCACTAGTCAGTGACTTCATGGATTTCTGCCATGTTTTGGTCTGGCCGCCCCTAGATTCCTTCCAACCTACACCACAAAACATAGCTCGTCGAGGCAGTCGGTGGTTAGGCATTGGTAACACATGTCCCAACCACCTCAACTGATGGAGTTTCAATACTTCATCCATTGATCTGCCATCCTTACCTAGTACTCGTTTCTTAACGACGGTATTGCTCACTCGGTTGTGCCACGAATTACGAGCAATGCTTCTTAAACATCTATGATCGAATATTAGTAGCCTACGAACATCTACTCTCACTGGCCATGTTTCACAGGCATATAGGAGAACGGAGCGAACTGCTGCGCAGTACACCCGTCCTTTGGTTAGCGAACGGATATCACGCCTACGCCATAAGTGACGCAGGTTGGCAAAAGCCAATCGAGCTTTCTGTATCCGCGCTGAGATTTTGTCAGTCACCAGACCGTCAGCGCTGATGAGACTCCCCAGATAAGAGAAGCGATCAACACGCTCAACTACTTCACTCCCTATCACTAGTTCAGGTGCCGATGCAACCCAATGTTGAAGCAACATTTTGCATTTCGAGAGTGAGAACTGCATCCCGAACATGTCCGCTCACTTCTTTTTGATTTTTCAACATATTTATTACAGAGCGAAAATAGTACTTTTAATTTAAAGATGTTTCACTGTTATGCAACTTTGTTGGGAAACTGAGTTTATCTAGTTAAATTACAATACGACTTGATAAGCTGGTCCAGGTTTGTGTAATAAGATTTGAGACAGTCTGTGAAGTTTGAAATAGTAGAAAAGTCACTTGACTGTCTAAATCAAACCTAACGATTAATCGGTAGCTCATTAGTTAAGGTCCATGATTGTCGCCACTAAATTTCTGCTTTGAACCATCTTCGAATACTTCCGGTCGGATATCCGCATAGTATCATTATCTCTCATAGTTAAAGTCTGACTGAATGCTAAGTACATGAATCGGTCAAATAATAGATCGTTTTAATCATAAAGCTCCATAGTAAAACCATATCGTACGTTTACATCAGTCACAGTGACCTTATAACCCTGATAAGTATCAAAGCGGTGAGCTGTCACAAATAAGTTCATATTAATCCACTCCAAACAGTTTATTTAGTGACGTAGTTCTTTTGAATATTATGATGAACAGCTGTCCAGTTACTTACTCTTGTTACCCCCAATAGAGCATAGGCCGCCAACCAGTATTCTCCAACCTACTCTGCCCTGAGCCTTCCTTTCTAGTTCTGTCCAATAGTTGTTCATTCTTCTCGTAACTGTCTCCATTTCTCGGCGTTATATATTCTTTGGTCCTAGCTGTCCAGTACTCACTGGTGGTTTTCAGTGAAACTGCAGTTATGGTTATCTAGTGATAAATGCCACATTATATTTGTACGTTTCTTCGATAACTAGCGTACTAAGTAGTGTTTATAAGGTTCATTGTACAGTTGGAGGCTAATCGAATATGCAAAAATTCTTATTACCATATAATTATGGTTTAAAATTATGAATAATCAAAGCTTCCACAATCACAAATCTTTTAAAGTGTTTGAATGAAACTTGTGAATTATGTCAATGAGAGTATCTAAGATTAAATATGCTCTACGTTGCTGAATGAAGGATGTAAATATTCTATGTAGCTATTCGCTAACCCATGTTTTTGTAATAGCAATCTTGAATATAGCAAAGAAGAAGCCTCAATGAATGACATGGCTTAGAATCGTTTGCAATGGCGCAGGTGCATCCACTCTTTGTGTTCTATGAAATTCTAAGCTTCTGCATTCCTCATAATCTCTACCTTTCTCCTTCTAAATTTATCTTACTGAATTATACTTCTCGAATCAGATCTTCACTCCCTAATCTTCTCCATTACTGCTAATACTTCTACTATTGCTACCACTCTTGGATTTAAACTGACATTTGCGTCTGTTTGCTGTTGTGGTATAGCAACCTGAACTGATGTACTTACGTACGAAGTTCTGCGTTGTATCTGTCTGTCTGAATATTTAGTTTGACAAATGTAAGCAGTCTATCATATGTACATTAGATTGGTCAGTCATTGTATGTAGGTTTATAAGAGATTGTGTATTAAAAATTAGACGAAGTTTAGTTGCAAGAAACATCTTCCAGACTGATTAGTGGAGATAATTTTTAAATATACTCTTAGTAATATCTCTCTTGAAAACTAAATTTCAATGGATTTTGGTGTGAGTATTTACAAGGACTTCTCAACTGAATAATATGATAATTTAGCGCCATGTCTAAGATGTAAGAAACAACCTAGTTCTATCAGTTTTGTTCACTCACTCACTCGTAACCACTTTTATTGTCTCATCTTATCAATACTTTGAGAAAACACATTATTTCATACAAGATATTATTTTCCTAAACAAATAAGTGGAGTCATGTTTAAGAATCATTCTAAATGATAGAATCTCATCATTATCAAGTTTGTTTGAGGAGATTTCATCTGGGAACATCAATCGATGGTAGGGTGTTCCTTAGGGAATGTCTCTTTTGACTTACTGTCTATTTTCTCTCCTTAAATATACATGATTGATAAAGCCAACAGTGTTCATCCGATTGAACACTATTGGCCGTTAAGAGTAGAGGACATTCATAGGTTACTAGTCTTCGATCATCGACGCCTCCGAAACATTGCTCGTGTATCCTGGCACGACCAAGTAAGCAATGCTATCGTTAGGAAACGATTTCTAGGTAGGGATGGCAAATCAATAGATGAACCGCCGACTGCCGCGACGAGCTATGTTTTGTGGTGTAGAAGAAGGTTGGAAGAAAGTTAGGGGGAACCAAACCAAAACATAGCAGAAATCCATAAATTCACTGACAAGTGGACTGAGTCATGTTGGTAGATGTAGGCTACCTGTTTGGGGTCCACGAGACGAAAGTCACCGACGGTTAGAGACCTTGAACGACATGGCTCAAAATCGTTTGCAGTGACGCAAATTTATCTCACTGAATTGTACTTTTCGAATCATATCTTTGCTCCCTAATCTTCTCCATTGCTGCTAATAATTGTACTATCGCTATCACTCTTGGACTTGAACTGACAGTTGCGTCTCTGTGCTGACGTGGTATGGCAACCTGAACTGATGTACTTACGTACGAAGTTCTGCGTTGTATCTGTATGTCTGTCCATCCGATTGAAATCGAGGATATATTTGTTTTCCAAACATCTCTTAAAGTATTTATTTGTAAATAAATGATAAACTTCTCAGTATGTTTATCTGAGATTAAATCTCAGTAAAATTTTACGACCTATCACGATCAGCTTCAATAAAAGTAAATTCTCTGAAAGTGACATGTGTATAGTATTCAATTAAATACTTCCTCAACTACCCTAAAGGTTAGTGTTTATTTGAAAACAGAAATACCGTTACATATATAACACAAAGTATTGTTTTTTATTTGTTCGACGTCAAAGCTATTTACTACAATGTTAATGAAATTGTGAATGAGAACATCAGTCAATCTCAACGACTGAATGTCAGAATTAATTTACAAAACATATCATACTACTTAATGGTATTAAGTAGTATATGTAGTAGTGTTTTATATATATTGACCTATCGAAATCGACAGTGTTTTGATTATTTATATAAAATAAAGGTTTAGTATTTATACTGAAATCAAACACATTAATTATCAGGAGTAGGCTGTTAAATAAATAAGGTATGAACCGCACCAATGTAATGACGTAGAACTTGGCGCGTACGTACGTACATCAGTTCAAGTTGCCATACTACATTGGCACAGGCAGTGAATTATCAAATCCCATAGTCGTCGAAGTATTAACAGTGATCAGAGAGATTAGGGTTCAGACATATTACTAAAGATGTATAATCTAGTGAAATAAACTTAGAAAGATGAAGTCAGAATATTAGGATTTGGGAGAAAACCAAGACTGGATACATACATGCCATTGCAAACGATCTTCAGCCCTGTCATTCAAGGTCTCCAACCTTCGATCATGATTATCTCGCGGACCCCAACCAGGTAGTCTACATCTTCAAACATGACTCAGTCCTGTCGTTAGTGACTTCATTGATTTGTGCTATATTTTGATTTCGCCTCCACTAGCTTTCTTTCAACCTACCCGTACACCACAAAACTTAGCTCGTCGAGGCAGTCGGTGGTTGGGCATTCATAACACATGTCCAAACCACCTCAACTAATGGAATTTTACTACTTCGTCAAGTGATTTGCCATTATTACCTGGTACGCATATCCTGACAATGGCATTGCCTACTCGGTTGCCCCCGGATACACGAGCAATGCTTCCAAGACACTTGTGATCGAAAACCAGCAACCTACGAATATCTTCTACTTTTACTGGCAAACTAGTAGGACAGAGCGAACTACTGCGCAATACACTCGTTCTTTGGTTAGTAAACTGATATTTCGCCTACGCCATAGGTGACAAGTTGAAAAAGGTCAATCGAGCCTTCTGTATCCGTGTTGAGATTTCACCACTCACCAGGCCACCAGCACTGACGAGACTCCCGAAATAAGTGAAGCGGTGAACACGCTTAACTACCTCACTCTTTACTACTAGTT